TCTTTATGAAGTTCTTCATAAATTTGAATTGCGGACTCGCAGTGTCTCTTAAATTGTAAACTTCGCACCACAAGGGGATCAGACTGAATTGCTGTATCAATTGCGCTATGAATGAGATTCATGATTGCAACAAGTCTCTTGGCATCGAAAGATTTTTCCTCAATAGCAATGTCCGTTGCGTCATTAGGAGCGTAATTCGAAATTTCTTCAAGCTCTTCGACTGAGTAACTCGGTTGCTCCGAGCGTACAATATAGGTAAGACATCAGAAGTTGCCATGTCTTCGATTCATTGACGTCGAAACGTCTAGCAATAACAGCCACTTGTTCACCACTTCTCAAAAGATTGAGCACTTTTAATTTTTCCGCGAGATTCAAGCCTTTCCTCGTTGGCTTTAACGATTTCCTTGGACTCGGTGCCATTGCAGTTAAATAAAAATATAAATCAAATGATAGAAAGGACTCTCCAAAAAAATACGTGTACATCGATGTCAAAAAAATATATTATTTAAAAAAATTGTACGCGTAAACAATGAACATTGCTACGTAAATACGCGTCATAGGGTTCCAAATAAATCCGCGTTATATGAGGGGTCGGAACATTCGATAAACCACGTTATCTTATTCTTATATCTTATATTTATATTTTATTTATTTTTTTTCTTTTTTTTCTTTTTTTTTCTCTACTTATAAAAAAGAGAACGGCCAAAAAGTGAAGCCGCGTAAAACGACCTCTGATTGGCTGACACTGACGACGACGCCCGACGCGAGCCGACTCTATACGAGTGCCTGTGCTGCTAACTGTCAACAGATAGTTAGTACTTGAGTGACCTCAAAATACGAATGAAAAAATTGACGCGCGCGAAGCGCGTTTGAAACGTACTATTTCTGAACTATTTCTGAATCTTAAACTAACCTCAAAACACAAAAAAAAAAATTGACACGCGCGGAGCGCGTCTTAAACGTCTAGTAGGGTAAACCGCGTTATAAGAACCCGCGTTATACGAGGGACTCCTGTATAACATATTCTCTTGTACGAACTTTTTCCCGGATCTTCCCGAGACTTTTGCTTCAAGTGCAGATCGTCAGCTTGAAATTCACATGTATTTTTCAATTCTTTTACGATTGATTTCTGTGGCTGCCTCGCCAGCATTGCGTAGATATGGGCTTCGTCTTGTGCATTGTCGGCCTTGCCTATCGGTCGACCCAGTACGTCGGCGAGTACGTTCATCTTACCAGGAATGAGCTTGATCGTCAGATCATAGTCCTGGATCATCAAGCTCCATCTTAATAATCTTTGGCTCAAAAATCGGCTGGTACGCAAAAACGTCAACGCTTGGTGTTCGGTACGCACTTCGATTGGCTTACCGTAGACGTAGCTTCTGAATTTTTCGAGAGCCGAGGTCAGCGCAAGTAGTTCAAGCTCCGTCGTGAAGTAGTTTAGCTCGGGTCCTTTAAGTGTGTGACTCGCCATGTAGACGACTCGGACATGGCTCGATCTCCTGACAGAGCGCAGCTCCTAGGGCCTTGTTGCTTGCGTCCGTGTATAGCACGTAACCCTTGTCTCATTGGTGTTTAAATTGATAAAAAATTCCAAACTATCGATTAAAAGTAATTTGGAATTGAATAAACTTTCAATTCTAAATTAAAAGTAATTTGGAATCGAAACAATTTTCCATTACAATTTAAAAGTAGTGTCACGGTATTCGCATGCCGTTTGCCGAATTGGCACTTTTTGCGGCGGCGAGCTCGGGTGACGAGCTCGCGCAGGTAGGAAGTCGAGCTGCGTAGTCAGTACACGAAGGTAGACTGTAGCATTAACAACTACCAATAATACGAAGTTGACGATCTACTTGTCAGTGTATTTATTTCACCTCTCCTCCTCTCATCCCGTTAACTCTAAGCTAGCGACGACGGGCGGAACCCTAATTACGACCCCCGTGACAGTAGTTTGGAATCGAAAAAATTTTTCATTACAAATTGAAAGTAATTTGGAATGGAGGATTTGTTCGACTTCAAATTACTTTTTTAAATTTAATTTATAATTCTGAAATTAAAAATAATGCAACCCTGAATTATACTGTAATTGTACAGTATACTGTACACTGTAACATTGTATACGCGTGTAGCTGCGGCCATCGCACAGATTGCGCCAGGACCAGTCTCTCGGAGGCTTATTCGAGCTGCTGTACATTCGACTCGATATCGTCGTGGCTTGTTTTTTTATCTCATTTTTTTTCATCTTCTGCGTAGCGTTAGATGGTTGTGACGTATTGCCCGCATTTATCGAGAGCTCGCACTGTCTATAGCTTATGTATTTTTCAGGCCCATCCTATTTGCTGGTAAATGATGCACTGGAAAAAAAGTATGAACGACTCTTGCCACACAAAGTATCGAGTTTTGAAAAGCCTATATGATTTTAGGCACTGTGATTTAATTTGAATGAGTTTATTTTGGAATTGTGTCAGAGGGATTGATGCAACGCCGAAGATTAAAATAATTTCGATTATCGTTTTAGAAACAAATAAGAGGGCAGTTTTGAACGATCTCATGGAAAAGACTCGTCGAATCGAAGCGCAGTGATTACATGTATCGAATGCTAATTTCATTTAGCAACTCAATGTTGCGAATAATAATGTTGATGCAGTGCACTTTTCATTATTACACTGTGGAGAGACTGCTGGGGACTGCAGGGAGCGAGTCTTTCGACTGTTTAAATAGAAATAAAGGGAAGGGGCGCATTAAAGGCCATTAAAAGAGCGACTGCGAGAGGCAGTCGGCTAATCCTCGCTCGCACAATCACGATCATGCAACGACCCTTCAAATTTATGCGCGTATTTGTATTTGAAAAGTCGGCTGGATACGCGAGCTGGCCTGGCTAATAATTAACAAACTTGTTGTAATAATAAAGAAGGCGGCCGGCCATTGTCGCGCGATCGCGATAATTTCATTAGCCAGCTCTCTTTCTGTTAAGCGCGCGGATCATTGGACCGCGTGGCGAATCGGCAAAAGCGCGAGTATAAATTTGTTAAACGCCCTTATACCCTGATGCAGCCTGCTAAATGCCTGCAAGTATACCCTCGATTCGACTACGAGTGTTTTAATTACGCTTTATCTCACTGGATGCTGGCACGTGTATTACTCGAGCTATCTCCATCGACTCGGAGCTCCATCGACTTTAATTACGAGCCTGCTTGCGCTTATTTTTCTGCAGTTGAGTCGTTGTCGCTTCGAGCGTGCAAAGATAAATGCCGAGCGACGCATTGGCCGCTGTTCAGTCCTCCAGTAGCATACACATGTTGGTGACTCGCAATAGCGGGGCCATGTATGGCTTGCAAGCCGTGAATGTTCCAGAGGTACAGTTACGTATATAGCTGGACAAAGAGGAGGAATCGCGAGAGAGAGAGAGAGGAACCAGAGAGGCTGCGCTGCACGACCCGGAGGAAAGGGGCACCAAAGGTGGAGGGCGTTATTGTTATCTTAGATTTATAGTCATAACGGATGGTGGCGTTGCTGCTGCTGCTGCTGCTGTGTTACCCCGAGCGGTCTTATAATCACCCTCCACCCCAAACTCCCTCGGCCGTCCGAGACTCGAGCTTGCTACCTTTGCACTACTAGTGTACACCGACGTAGCGACTATCCCTCGCTTCTCTCGCAGCTCTTCTTCTATAGCCCAGCCGCAATATACATAGTAGCACCCGACCAGCAGTTTAAGTGATTTGCGACGCGGCTGCCTTGCCATCATGCAGATCCTTTACCGCCTCCTTCTCCCTTGGCTTTTCTCAGCTAAGGTCTCTCCTTCTCTCTTGTCTAACTCGTTTCTCTCCTCTCACCCTCTCTTTTCCTACCAACTTGTATACATATACATGAGCACATTTTTGCCTTTTCTCCCCGTGCGAGTACATTTTTATAGCGGCAAACGTTAAATAAAGCCTTTGTAATTTCTAAAAAGAAACGTGTAATAGTCAAAAGAAATAAAGGTGAAGAAAGGCCGGAACGAATTGCGAAAATATACAAGGATAAGAAAATCAGTGGATCGGTGCCGAAAGCGAACGGCGGCTGCAGCGCAACAAGAGAATTTCGCTCGGCTAAAATTACACGTTTGTACTCGCAAAAGCTCTGCTACGAGCACACGAGTACAGGAGTGAGCTGTTGTGACGAGCACGTAGGTCTGCGGATGGAGCCAATCAAGGAAGCACACCGTCAGCGAGTTTAGCTTCCCATAGTTGTTACACCATTCCTCGATCTGCTGCTGCCGCTGTTACTGCTCACCCTTATTCTCTCTCTCTCGCTGCTGCTGCTGCTAGTGCTGCTTCGTGACTTCTAGCGTTGTGTTAGCGTGCGCAAAATTTCTGCCGCTCCACCGTCGGGAGCCGTTTTCTCGCAGCGCAGCTAGACTATGACACGCGCGGGACATTGTTTACCGTCTCGACAGCGACGACCAAATTCACTTCGTTTGCAAAGAAGCAAAAAGAAATCAAGAAGAAAAAGTAATTCTAGATCAAGCCAACGTATAAAACGTTTAATCGAATTTCTCAGCTGCTATATATTATACAGCTCTCAGCACTTGAGTTTCGTACTGTCCAACATCGGATCGAGTTAATTTTTCCTCCTATAGAGACTTTTATTCAAATTACTTTATTCTCGAAAAAGTCCTAACGTCGATGACAAGCTGCAGTACTGAAGCAGATCGAAAAATAAATTGAAAACAAAAATATATGTTGGGAGGTGTTAGCAAAGTTAGCTTAGAAAGAGGCAGGCAAGCAGGGAAGAAAGAAAGGAAGAAAGTCAAAATAGTTGCAGTGCAGAAGCGCATAGTAATATAGTTATAGCTTATAGGCAAAGAAAACAGTGTAAGCTGCGAGGTAGCTCGGTCGAAGTATATAGCAAGAGTGAGGCAAGTAAAAGAGGGAGAGAGAGAAGAGAAGGAGAAGAAGAGAGACGATAAGGGATCCAGAGCTTGGAGCTTGATGGAATTCCATAGATCCACGTCGGCTCGGGTCGCTCGTCGAGACAGAGCTCGTCGGCTAAGCAGCCATTTAAATGCAACCGATGTGTCTCGGGGAGCTATTACATCTGATGGACGGTTATTGACGCGCGCCCGCGCCACCCGACTGAGCTTATACACACACTCGCGCGCACACTCACAGCACATACACACGCTCACATAGCAGCAACAACGAGTCGAGAAAGCCCCCCGAGTTTCCGGGGAAAACTCTGAGAGAGAGAGAGAGTAAAGCCCCGAGGGGGCTGAGTTCGCGAGCAGCCTTTCTCCAACACGAGCTTGTAGCTGCTCTGAGATGAAGATAGAACGGCCTCAGTTCTTCCTGCGCAGAAAGACCGAGAGAAAAAGATGATGCCTGCGCGACGCAGTCGAGGCTACTGCCACGTCGTCGACGCTCGACTCCTCCGCGAATCCTCGAAACTTTTACTACTTTTACTCACTCCGACCAGGACTCGTGTGTATAACGGTCCATGCTTCATATTTTACGCTCCCAGTTGAACCTATGTATAATCACTGTGTGTCTTTTCGATGCGAGCTTACTATCTCGATAGCCAACCTCTTTTATTTCTACTATATTTATTCTTTATATCTCTCTCCAACTTTTATTTCTATTCAAATTTTCGTTAAGCCCGGCGCAGGAAAAAGCAAATAATCGATTGCAAAAAAAGCGTCCGTAATATTTATGGATGAAATTATTATGACCTTTCTAAATGACGAAATTACGGCGAGACTCAGAGCTTCATCCGCAGAGGCGCGCTACAACTGGCAGACAGCCGGTCTTCCTTAAATTTGTCTCTTTGCGCAGACAAAAATCGTAAGTGTCAGAGTAGATCAGACCTTATCGCCGCGACGTGAAACATTCTACTCTCGGGCATGCGTATCTACATGCTTTTCTCTTCATTCATAAAATAAATGTCACATCTGCGTCTGTGTCTCTTTCTCCGCGTACTTGGGTACATTTGGCCCGAGGAGGAAGGATTCCAGCTTTTTCAATGTACGACATTGCCTCGAGGGTGGGAGTGGAAAGATATCACCCGACTCGATGTTGTGCGTCTGTGTGTCGGCGTGTGCGTCAATGCTACAACGTGAAAAGAAAAAAAAAAACAAGAAAACGCGAAGCTGCAAGCGCGTGCGGGAATTCGACGTGTGTACGACACTCGATGGCAGCGGCGCCTCCGAAGCTCCAGTCCCGAAGTCCTGGCCGACGAATACAAACGATCGCATTAGCCCGGCGAGCCGCGCGCTCGACTCATTTCCAGCTCGCTATACCTTCCTGCACGATCGCTCTGTACTGCCGCCAATTCAGCGAATCTTCTGCGCTCGCGAATAATTTCCCCTTTTTTCTCTTTTCTTCCAATCGTACGTGATATTTGCCTTGCTGAGGAATGCATCACTTCTGCTGCTCCATTAACTTTTATATCGATCAACTCAACAATTTTTCTTTTATTGCAAATGAAATACTTTGGCTG